ATCAAATGATGAATTTTCTTCACAGAATTGATAAACAGGGAGCTCTTCTGAGGTTTATTCTAGTATTGATGAGAGGTAAATGCAATGGATGTGAAAGTAAATGTGCAGCAAGTACATGAAGCCGTCCTTCTTCACTGTCTAAGATGGATTTTACAAAGGTTTTCAGCCTGGATTATAGCACAAAGCACTGTCACTTCACTGTGTATAATGGTAATTGCGGACAATTTATGATCTCTCCGGTCTCCATCTATGTATCGTTCTGAGTAAATAAACCAATAAAAAAATGATTGAGATGGCCTATAACATATTGAAATGAACCTGCTGGCAGAGATGCATTGTAAAGGTTGTCTAAATGATTATAGGAATGAAGATGGAGGTGAGTGAAACACGGCGAATGGGCAACTCCATCACCTGCAAAAAATCAACCTATAGCTCTGAGTTCTCCCTTAATCTACGTCCTGATGTGCACTTTGTCAATTCTATTAGATCACGCTGCGTGGGGTTCGAGCACACACACGTACACACAAATAGAGTGATGATGATAATGGTGAGCACCTCCCAAGGTGAAGCCTATTCAGTCACAGTGGGAGCCATCTCAGACCTAATTATGCTTGGTTTGGCGTTTTAACTGTATTGATCAAAACGCTGAAACAAACGAGAAATGCTTATCAAGCTGGAAAAGAAGAGCCCTCAGGAGTTGGTGTGCGTGTGCGTGTGTGTGTGTGTGTGTGTGTGTGTGTGTGTGTGTGCGCTCCACGGGAGTGAGTGAGAGTGATGGCATAGGTCTGAGAGGTGGTGAGATATTGGTGGTTATAAAAAATTGCAATTCTGAGGTTTTGAGTTATTAATTACAGCCTCCCCTCCTTCACCCCTTTTTACCAGCCATTAGAAATACTGCGCCACACACACGCACACACACACACACACACACATATATACACATGCACACACTGTATACACCCACGTATTTCTACACATATATGCTCATATATGCAAGCCTCAGGACATGCACAAACACACACACACATACACACGCAGGATCGTGCACACACTCCCTCACACAAATTAGCTCGTCCATACCAGCACTAAGTGCACAATACCCTGCTCTGATGAGCAAGCTCCCGTCGACCTTGGAACTCTCTGGAAAGACAATGCAAGGGGAGCCATGCTGTGAAAGGGAGGGGGTGTGGGTGGTGGGAGTAGATAAGGTGGAGGGAGGGATGGAGAGAGGGTGACAATAGATGAGAGGAGAGAAGGAGGGAGGGAAGGAGAGCAAGAGAGAGAGAGAGAGCGAAAGTGGAGCTGCTCAGTATAGGGCAGGAGGGCAGCGCTCCCTCCCTCCTCTCCATCTCAGCTCATCTTGAATGCAAATGTGGTTTCTATACGGTTCCTTTGTGCCGCTTCTAACTGCTCCAGAGAGAAGCAATTACAACTGCTCCATTCACTCAGAGAGAGAAAGACACGCATGGATAGAGAAGGGTAATTAATAAAGAGATAGGAGGGATGAAGGAGGAGGTGAGCACATACCTGTGGAGGATCGTCACATAGGACTGGAGCAGGATATTGACATGCACAGACATCGACATGAGGCTGACCTGGCTCATAATTTCTGACCAACTACTCCACGAAAGGTCAAAGGTGAGAGGTCATTATCAATAGCATCATTAGTGTTATGTGGAGTGTGTGTAATACAGAATTACACTGAGTTGCCCTCAGTAAATATGTCACCTTTATCTTACAGTTGTTATTTCCCCAATCACTCCTTTGGAGAAGTGAACCCAGAGAATTTATTGAATCAAAAGAACGCCACCCGGGGATGACATCACCCTCGATTCCTCTCCGTCTTTCTGCAGACAGATAGTTGCAGTGCCAGTGCCGTATCCTGTTGCAGTCACAGTGGCAGGGTGGCGCTGCAAGGTATGGTGGGAGTTTTTATGGCAGTCATTTGGGCCGCTAATATGTCATCTCCATTAGCCAACTTTTAACACTCGCAGATAGATGGCCCTGTGACATTTATCTGCGCGCCGGTCGTATTTTAGCTGTTAAATGGCTGGTGATGTGCGGAGTGCGTGCAGAATGAGTGTGTGTGTGTGTGTGTGTGTGTGTGTGTGTGTGTGTGTGTGTGTGTGTGTGTGCAAAGGTGGGGTGGGGAAGGGAGAGAGAGAGAGATGCATTGACTTTTAATGATGCTCTGTGCAATAGCACTTTAGAGGTAATAATCACAAATACAATGCAAGTCATAACCTTTGACCCTCTTGCCTGGCGCAAAAAAAAAAACACACAAAAAAAAAACCTCAGGCCTCCTTCCTCAACAGTTAGACAGCTGAGGTACAGTGAAGCAGGCCTGCAGCGTCAGCAGGAAAAAAACACCCAACTACATCAGAGAACAGCTAATTAACTTAGCCGCCTGTGGAGAGAGAAAGAGAAGGAAACTGAAAAATGAAAGAGAGGAAAGAGGAAGAGTGATGGAAAGACACAAAGTAAGCGCAGGCGCAGGGTGAGAGTTTCGCAGGCTAATTGCTCATATGGATTTTGCCATTGTTGGCTTTTGTAGCGTCAAGGAGGTGAGGTCCTTCCCTGCGGTGGCTTCAGGTGAAACTCTAAATGAGCTAATAATTTAGACTCATAAACTAATACTAATATTGATGGCCGCCACATACACCGAAAAGCATTAGAAAGATTCCCTACCATAAAACAGCTGTAAATATGATATAAGATCTCGTCATGTAACTCGTCACGTACAGCGGGACCTTCCCCACCCCACCCGCCCACCCCCACCCCCCCGTTACACATAAAAAATACCATCCACTGCGCTGCATCAAAAAGCTGAGAATGTGTTCCGTGTCATTTTATGCGTCGCCTACGGGAGCTCGGTCACCTGTCCAGAGGCACTGAAGTTGACTAATGTGACAGAAAATTAACAATTAAAAATATCACACGGGCCCAGAGCCACTGCAACGTGGTGCGTTCACAACTCAGTGGACACCCTAATTGCTTTGAAATACAATTGAGTTTGGGCTTTGTTTGGTGTTTTGGAGGTATGAAGCGCATCAATGCACACTGGAAATTGAGTTATAAATTACTGAGCTGAAATAGACATGTACCGTGAATACTCAATATCCAAATGCTAGATGTTCTCCCTACAAAAAGGCAGATGCGTGCATGCACTCACACACACACACACACACACACACACAGGATGCCACCGCATGCAGTTGCATTTCATTTTGTCAGAAAATTGACTGGCTCTGAACCAAACAATGCATGTGTGTGTGTGTCATGCTGTATGCCTGTCATGGAGGTTGGCGTTGATAAGGTCAACCTTAACAGCAAACACAGATGGAGAGCTCCGACCACAAACCGGTGGGACTCAGAAAATGACAGAGGATGAGGGGAAAAGAAAATGTTCATTCATCTACAGCTTTCCCAACAGGCAGTACATATATGTGTGTGTGTTCACAGCTGTCAGTGTGTTTTCAGACACTGTGTGTATGTACTGTATGTATCTGGGTCTATGTTTGCCGTGTGAATACAGCTCAGTGGCTGGTGCGTGAAGTCAGTGACAGCTTCATTATGGCTTGTGCGCACAGGGAGACAGCACCATCCAGGGGAAGGAGAGAAGAGGACAGAGACACGGGACAGGCCAGGTTTACTGTTGGGCCGGCCCACGTCAGTCCAGCGGTTTGTGGAGGAAAGTGGGAGGAGAGATGGAGGGGACAGCTGCTGTCTCCTTTAATGAGTCTTTGCTTCGTTCATCAGCTTGCAATTTACAGGGCTGTCCAGTACTCCTGCACGTACCCCCCCCCGCCCCCCCCCAACCTCGCCCCTCACAATCCCATCCCATCCCATCCCATCCACACACATATCCCTGTAATACACACACACACAGTTTGAGGCTGTCTTGTTTCTCTCAGGTGATACGCAAGAGCAGTCTGTAATAGTTAAATTAATTCGCTGTCTTCCTTTAATTAGACCCATCTCACCTGGGAGAGCTGTGACACAGGGCTGAAGTGTGACCAGCGCTGGACCTCTCCTCGTCGATATCGCAACACTGAAGACAGCTTAAATCTAACAGAGCAGGATATCGACATGCACATACACCAGACAGCAGATATGGTACATTAATAACCATCTACAGTAGCAAGAGAGATTCCAGCTTTCAGCAGAAGTCAACTGAATTGTAGCCTTCATGGAGGTAGGATTTATTGCAGGGCTGCTGCATTAAGACTGCATTAGTTCTAGCTGTACCTGATAATGTCATAATCTCTCCCCCTCATCTCATCAATATAATGCAGCACACTGCAACCTCAATAATAAACATGGTTGCTGACAGTGTCACTCAAAACTGAACATTATCTTTGTAAAAAAAAAAAGTAGAATTTCTGGTTGAGCTGTTGTGTTTGATTTAATAGGTAATCTTAATAAAGTGACCACTTTGTGCAGAAACACATTGTGTTCGAAGGTTTAATAGACCCGTTTTCCTTCCCCAACAGGTATGGTCAGTTTTGTGTGACTGTGACAAGATAAGTGCAAACAAGAGTGCATAACAAATGATTGTAACAGATGGGAATGTTAACTAGCAATCACTGGATGTTTGACATTATTCAGTCACCCAGCGAAGGAATCCGAGACCCAGTTTCTTTCCTGACAAGACACAGACTTTTAACTGAGACTTGTTGATAAAAGGGTCAGGAAAAAATTATCTGCGCTATTTAAGGATTCATACTAGAGACAAATTATGCACATCAATAATGTGCACATGAACCATGGTGCAAAATAGGTCTGAACCAACTTCATCAGCATTGTGGAACAACATCCCACCGCTGTAGAGACTCGCGGTCCTGTGAAGTCTACACTCCCTCTACTGGGCTGTTAGAACAGTGCATGACTGTTGAACTGAGTTCATCAAGATAAGATGCATGTCACAAGGTAGAGCCAAAGACAACTAGGTGCTGACAAACTCAGTAACACGTGGAATATTCACACAAGTTTGTTTTTCTTCAAAATAAGACAATTTATTCATCCATTAACAAATCATAAAAGTGTTCTCAAATATTTTTCTAAAAGACGTGTCTACAACTCAAAAACCATCCCTTGCTAACCACAGTACAGCTTCAGTGCTGATAAAAATATAAACATAATAGGAAATATTTAAGAATTTACCATTACAAACATAGGTTTACTATACATTTTTTAAAATATGAAAAATATTTTTTTTTTTAAGTACATACTAAATTAAATGACAGGTATTGCTTTAAGAGAAAGCTAAAGCAAATTATTAAAACAAACATTTAAGGGGAATAAGGAAGTGAACAGAAGTAAAAGAAAGGTTTTTGGTCTTTAAGAAAAGAAAGAGCGTCACAAAACAGGTTAGGTTGCCCTAAGAGAAAAAGGAAGGTGGAAATACAATTGCTGTGCATCAGGGCTCGATGTGTGTGGTGAGGGATTCTTAAAGACAGCTGAAGAGCTCTGGGTCTCTGTCAGAGGACTCGTAGAAGGGGAGTGGGCTTCCTCGCATTGGAGTGTCCACGCTTAGCCCCAAGCCTGACGATGAAGAGCTGCTGTGAGAGGAAAAGGGCGATCCAAGAATCAGTTCAACATTAACAGACTGAAAACTGCTCTTTAATGTAAACTTTTCTGCCAAAGCCCATACCTTTCACAGTCAGAGTCACAGGAGCCCTTGTCCTCTGATCCACTGATGTAAACCCTGCTGGAGCGCTGTATGGCTTCGGCCACTGTGTACCTGGTCTTACCATGAGCACACCTCTCGATCTTTGTGATACTGAGGTCCGACTGGAGGAACAGGTGGAGCCGACTGTCTGATAACAATAATGGTGTATGAAGAACACTAGAGAAGAAAGGATATCAAAATGAGACACTGCCAAACATGGAGCCAAGACAAAGACAAACAAAACAGTGCCAGGATACACCTTTAAAATACATTGATGAATCCACCTGAGGGGGGGGGTGTGGAAGGATACCACTAGGGGGCAATGCTGGAATTTGATTGCTGCTGTTGCTTAAGCTGCTGAGCAACTCACCTTTCTAAAAACCCTTGCAGGCCTTTCATCCTCTGCGAGACCTGTTCTGTGTTCCTCAGACTGAAGAAAGGGTTCCAATGAGGCAATTTTGGTAATTCCCTGTACGGAGAGTATCAAAGAAAATCCACTCAGAAAAGAAACTTATTGCATGCTTATAGTCAAATACAATAGAAACCTTATCAAAGTCAATTTCAATAAAAACTGAACATCATGAAGGAGATTTATTGCAGGACTGTTGTATGAGACTGCATTAGTTTTAGCGAGGTGTAACTAATAAACTGCCAACTGAATGTATAAATATCTAGGGTATGAACTTGTGACCATACATACATGATCAGAGCATTCTGTTCCAGACAATGGCGCAGCCAGACAAACTCACTGTAACGCCGTCTTACACAGGAAGTCTTCTTTCGAAAACACATGCTATTGGTCTACAAAGAAACATTGATTCAATAGACTTTAACCTTAAAAGACAAACTTCAAGACATATTTATCCAAAAAGAATATCTCAAGCTTTTTCCCCCCCTTACCTGTAAACAGATCTCGTAGTCTACGTGCGTGTGCCAGAGGTCATCTTTATGGAGCCTTGGATTCTGAACACAAATGCTGATGAACTCCTGCAAGATTCAAAACCAGGGTTCCATTACTTCAAAAAGATACAAAATGAAATTTCAGGACATCAGAAAGTCATACCTGCTGCAAGCGCAGCATCAGAAGACAAACAAGTACAGTGTGAAGGAGCAGGCTTGACCACTTACAGTTTTTGAGAGATTTTCCAGCATGCTGTCCATAACGGGAACACAATCCTGCAAGAAACAGTTTCCAATGAAGTGTTTATTGCATAGAAAGACAGTGATGTGTTGTAACTTGCAACTTTCTCCAGCCTCTGGTGGAAAGTGAGAATTTGAAAAATAACAGGTAATTTCAGCTATTATGGTGCATTTTCATTGAAGAAACAGCCAAAGTCCACTTTCAGTGCAAGATTTGTTTTGTGAAGCAGAGGCCTGGCTGGTAATTAATACTTTAAGGACTCAAAAGTGTAAACACTTGGAGCTGATGAAGCAAAAAGGGGAACAAAGGGCAAAGGAGGAGGATTTTGCTTGCAAGGGGGAAATCGTGGGTCTAAAAACCTTAATATGGACTCACACACGCCAAAGTTACAAACAATGAGAAAGCCTTTTTTGGCACATTACAGGCAGAAATACAGGCAGCACTCTGCCCATTCACTGAGCTCACATGACAGGCATATCAAAAGGCTTCAACAACACGCCGGATCACCTGCCCCCTTCACACCCTAATGAGACATGTCATCCACAAGCCTCAAGTCCAAGCAGAGCAAATAAGTGTGTATGAACGTTTGAAAAAGAAAAAAAAAAAAGTCCTGAGGCTACACCAGAGAGAGAGTGACCTGAACCAAACTCCACTGACACATCACATGGAATCATACAGACGGAAGGTGTCCTGCAGACAGCATGTTCTTGTTCATGACACTTTGTTGTTGGTGATTTAACAGCATGGGCTTGAGAGTATGAAAGATCACTGCTGTTTAAGGGAATCAATAAATTCTACATAAACCCCCCCCGGCTAAATGGGGTCAACTGGATGCTGTAAGTGCAAACTCAATGTAGCAACTTCAATTATTCACCAACCATGATTGGTTACATAATACAATCACTGCACTTTGCTGTTGGCTGCAATTACACACAGTTAGCACATTAAATTAAAGATTTATGACCAAAAATAATTATGTCATCTGCTAATCCTGATCCAGGAACAAACAGCAGGTCTGAACTAAGGCACAACAGAACCCATGCAGGATATATAGTCTAATGCAATCACTTTAACTGTAGAAAAGCAATATCCAACCCCACTCATAACTGCCCTCTCATGCAAAATATATGAAAGCTAATTAAAAAAAATATTTAATCCACCTTCCATCCCAAAGATATAAACTATGCTGAACACATTGACAAATTAATAATAGGTCAAGTTGATATGAAGCTCCAGCATTAATAGAAAAAAGGAAGAAAAGAAACTACAACTACACAACTTCTGCACAAACTATATGAAACTTTTGCAAAAAAGAAAAAAAATCCCCAATTCTACTTCAGTAGAATAGTCCTACCTTTTCCCTTGTTAACCTCAGTAGGAGCAGCTGTAGCAGTGATTCAGTGCTGTGAGAAACCACGAGCAGGTCAGCAGTCTGGCTCGAGGCTCAGCTCTGCCTGGACTGAACACAAGGCAACTGCTAACACTGCTGCTGTATTGACTCTGTGTGACCTCTGCCTCGGAGCTTGTTCACGACGGCCACTCAGCTGTAAAATACGCACAAAACACAAAATAAAAAGTCGTAAAATAATAATAATAAATTTCAGTCGTTTGACTGAGCCACACAGACACACAATGAGCCGATATCCCCTTCGAGAGAAACGTGTCGTGCGCAGTTTCAGTGGCGAAATCAGTTTAAATGGTCTCACCTGGTGGGAGGAGGCAGACTAATGGTGGAGAAGTGGAAAGTAAACGGATGATTAAACTATCACTTCGAATGACTGAATGAGTGAGATAAGATACTAAATCCACCATTAGTACTCTGATAATTATAAATAGTGTGGTTTGCAGAGCTTTTTAAGGTCTATATTAATAATTTAGGTGCCATAGTTTAATATAAAATATTTCAAATTAGCCATGAAGTCAGTCCATTTCTTCTTGTAAGTGAAATTATTTACCTACTATTAATAAAGACTCTAAGTAGCCCCATACACTTTATATGCAAATAAACATTCTCACAGTAAAAGAAATCTACCACTTGGTGAAGATTTAATGGTTATGGCTAGAGTTCCATGATTTTTTAGACTCAGTATTTTTAAATTTGGGGACTCATACATCATCCAGAATTGTATTGTGGGCTGTATGGAGACATCTTTCAAAAATAGATATAAAGTAAAAAATTTAATGAATAACTACAACAAATAAAAAATACAATATACAAAATATGAAGATTTCAAGAAGCTACTTAAAGACTTTATTTTTGATGTCTAGCAGATACAGTGACAACAAGTCTTTGCTGCCCAGGACCAAGAGCTGTGTAATACAGCTCAGGTCATCCATCCATAACAGTAAGAGTAAAAGAAGCTAACAATGTGTCCAAGGACCACCCTGTCACAGAGTTTTACTGTGATTCTCTCCAGATAGACTTTCCTAATACATGTTGAGTTTTACAGTTAGTCGTTTGCTGAGACTGCATAAGCAAAATCTGCGTTTCCTATTGAGAATAAGAGGTAACTGTAAAACAACACAGTACAGAAGCAATGGGCCTCAAGCTTATATAGGGGTATTCTATCATCACTGCATTATGGTTCCTTCAAACCAACACCACACATTTTTACAGTTTCACTCGATTCAGAATTCTCTCAAGTTGCCAATGGATCAGAGGTGACACCTACATCACTCACTTTTACTCTTTCACTAAGTCAGATACAAGCAATGACTCTCCTGATGCAGGATGCACCCTGTAAGTACCAGGCCACAACATTAAGCACTCCCACCATGGAAAGACTAATATCACCAACTATGCACATATCACTCGCAATTACAATTTCAGATGTAAGAATAAAATCAAAGAGTTCCTACCTATGTCCTTGCTGTCCAGCCGAGGAGTGGGGGTAAACACAATTGGTGAGATGTGACCTTAAATAAATACTCCTCTAGCTCAGGTAAAGGTACTTAAGGGAGGCAAAGGTCTGCTAATTTTCATATAAAGGTCTGTTTATCTTGGGTGACATCAGCAGATAAAGAGTCTTTCAGTCTCAACCTGTGATGGTGACGTTCATTTGGTTTAAAGTCTCAAGATAATTTGATTGGCTGCATTTGGCTGATAAGCGCAGTTCAAGAAGTGGTGAAAGGAAAAGCTGACTCAGTAAACTGCTCCATGATCTGGTCCACAGACAACCATCATGTGCTACACACACACACACAAAGCCACAGATGATGTCCTTGTAATGCAGCAGGGATGTCCCCACAAAGACCTTTTCTTCACTTGTGTTGACATTTAAAAAAAAAAAAAAAAAAAAGAGCTGTTTTACATTACATTGACATCCATTATCAAGCAAATTATATATTGTGAAATAAAGTAAATTGTAAGATTTGACATCCACTTTGTCGCCGTCATGTAAAGCAGAATCATGAGGAAAGAAACGATTACATTTTCAGAAAATGTACAATTAAAAGTGGGTTGACCCTGTCATTGTACTTGCCATGTGGAGGTGTGTGTTGTAAACTTGTATTGACATACTCTGAGGAGATTTGCATACAAGTGACGACTGTGCTGCAATGATAACAGGCTTGATTTAATCAAGACATAGAAATGCGAGAGTACCTGCTTTCCTTCTGTCTCCTGTCTTTTCCGTTTACATGAACCTGCTCTCTTGCTGTTCCTGCATCTCAGTTACAGCTGCTGTATTTACAAAGCACACAGACCCACACACACACACACACACACCTTGTGAGTCTTATGAGCCCCAATAGGATCTTTGTAATATGGTGTCTTTGTTTTGGTAAAATGTCTTTTTGCCAATTGTGGGTCTGCTGTCATGTCGACAGTCTTGATTGCTTCCAGACAGGACTCATTGTGATATGTCTTGATTGCAGAAAAAAATATGTTTTAATATCTTTTCCTTTATCAACATTTTAACACATGAACATATTGGGATGATAATCCTGTTTTATTTTGGAGGAATTTCATTGTGAACTTTCAATCTGCTTGGCTGTTTAGGGATGTGCCATGAGGGATTTTTCCATGGAAACTGAAAATTGAGTTGCCATAGAAACATCATCTGCACTAATACAAAGGTCCAAAGTCCATATCCCACATCCTAATGCCAGTCATGAGACTGGTTCTCCACAACAGAGCAGAGGTAGACATGGCCCATCGCTGCAGATCTCAGCTGCTTGTTAGAGGTGCTGAGATGCTGAGCTTTAAAGGATATTAAAAGGTGTAACTATAAACTGGCAGAGGTGGAAATGATTTACTCAAATATAAGCAGAAATGCCACAATGGCAGAACGCTGTCACAAATAAAAGTCCTACATTTAAAATCTTACAGAGTGAAGAGTGTAAATTACTACAGCCTGCTGTCTGTTAGTTCAGACTATAGCAATGTATCAGGACTAATGAGCTTCTCATTTTTAAAGGAATCTTGATGTAACAAGGAACTGGTAAAGATAAGAATAATGAAATGGAAAGTACATTTTCCTGTTAAATGTAGTGGACTGAAAGTGTTATCTCTCCCGTGGCGTAATGCTGAAGTACTGTTGCTCAACACTGTGACCTGAGTAAAATAGTTAGTTACTCCAACATCTGCAGATTGGTCAGATGCAGGTAGATGGGTGGGGTTATTCATACTGTGTCAGGGCCCCATCACAGTCACTATATCTTGATTAGCAGGACTTGGCTCTTCAGGACCCTCAGGACTGTCATGTGCAGGGAAGAACGAGGAAAGGAAAACATATTCTCTGACAAGAGGTCAAATTCCTTGGGGAGCAGCTGAAAAATGCTGCAACTCTGGTCAAAAACAAACATTTTGGAATGTTTTCATCTTCATTGTGCTTTCTGGCACCAGCCCAACTTCCAAGTTTCAAACATTACTGTCAAAATGAAAGCTCATATTGGTAAACATTTCAAGTTTTCATCAATGTATAGATAACAAAATCAAGTTGTAAAAATGTGATTAACATTTACAGTTAAGTCTGTATATGCATTTTACTTTCCAATTCTTAATACACATTTCCTTGGGACCATAAAAACTGAGCAATGGAATTTGGTCACATAAAACCTTTATTAGAACTTCAAATTATATTTACAGACAAAGTATACAAAATGTACTTGTAGAACAAAACATCAGCACTGGTGTGAAAAAAAAACAACAAGCTGCATCTCACATGAGATTAAGATGTTATTACAAGAGGTGGTCAGACTAACAAACCAATGGAGTCATTTTGAATTTTTTACAATTTGACCAGATATGAATATAGGCAGTGGTGGGTTCTATTGAAGTATTGTTTCTAAACTGCCACCACATAAAACATAATATGTTACCGGAAGACTTGTTTCATTATACATCACAACACCATCACCTGCTTCCTCACAATCAGCTCAGCTCCTATATACAACATCATGTCTTTCCTTGACTGCCATACAATTCAAGTCTGGAAACATCTTCAACAATAACTAAGATAGCTAAAACAAAAAGGCAAGCCAGGGAAGAAAAGTCAGTCCTGAGGAAAAGGGCTTAGGTGGTGCAAAGGACTGGAGGGACCATGGGACAGTACTACTGAGCTTCATCCTCTGGACAGGAATGCCATGTCAGTCTCTCCTCATAGAAGGAAATGACCACCTGAGGGCAGCGAGTGTTCGCCTCACGGGCTGGGACCAAATCTGCTTCATCTGAGTCTTTCCTACAGAAAAGGGCAAGGAGGGAGAACACCATTACAGCAACTGTGGACCCCTGCCCTCCACAAACCATTATTTTTTCATACATTTTTACTGAGTCTGTTAAAGCAAAAATACAGAGGTGGATTTGCATTTCATGCATTTCTGAGAAACAACAAAGCCAGAATATTAAATGTCTCAAGTGCAACACATGCAAAATAAATAAATAAATAAATAAAGATCATTTGAGCTGTTTGGACATAAAAGGAGATTTTCTAACTTGTTTACTCACCATTTCATCAAGAACATCAATTCCCCACTGCTGTCTGTTGCGCCAATGATCCGTTCTGGTTCGAGGTTTCTAGCAAAGCCACGCGGTTTTTCAGCCTGCTAGTGGTGACAACAGAACACATGGGCATATGCAAGAAACAAGAGCAGTGATTCATGTTATTGTTTTTTTCCCCAGTTGACATAATGCAACTCTGATTCTGAGAGCAATTAATTTGATCGCCAGGACAGATTCAATAGCTGCAGCATTTCAACAACAGCCCATACTTTATATACATCTTATCTTGTATCAATGGTGCTATGACAGTTTTTTGAGAGGTCTGTGCAACATGATTACATGTGGTATTTTATCGCTTATCTTTTTCTGAATTTTGAGAAATAATCCTCATGTGGAGGATTCCCATTGCTTGATTCAACTCATCTCATAAGTAAAGTGCTGGTTGGAGAGATGTGCAAAACTGTAAGTGGACTCACCACATCTTTCTTCTTTGCTTCTGTCTCTGGCTCTTCTGTTGATGCCTTCCTCTTTACAGGGGCAGGCTTCTCTGTAATGTTCTTCTGTGCTTCCAAAAATGCTGAAATTAGCTCTGGACAATCCAGATTCTCCTCTGGCTCCCAGGTATTGTCGGCACTACAAGAGCAGGACGAGGGTCAGCATTTGCATCTTAAAACAAACTCCCACTGATAAAGATGCAAAAAATATAGTTAACTTATAAAACTAGCTTGAATGCAGAACTGCAGATTCTTCATGCAACCACAATGATTATGGACAAAAGCATAGCACAACCCCATACCAGGGAAGCACTTCCAGCTCAGCGGGAGGGGGGCAGGTGTCCCAGGCAACTCACTCTGTAAATCCTTTCCACTTCAAGTAGAATTCTACTTTCCCATTGACAATACGCTGGTCCAATACTTTTTCCACGACAAACTCCTCAGGTTCTTCCTGTGTCTCCTGTGCATCCTTCTTTCCCTTGGTATTCTGCTTCTTGCCCATATTGTGCTCTAAATATGAGAAACATGGGAATTTTAAATGATCACATTTGTTCGATGCCTCAAGTCACATAGATATGCACGAAGGCACCACTCTTATTCACATTACAGTTGAATGAAGTAAAAACAGGACATCAGCATGACCCAATTCTGCCCCAGATGAATGAGCCGTTAACTAAGCTCTTGTCATAACTAATGTTCTTGTCACTAAGAAGTACCCAGTAATATAAACACACAAACGCGGCAACGTTTATAAATCCGTACTATTATAATGCCAAGTTGACACCCAGGTTATCAACCGAATGATGTGGAAAAGATTTCTCAAAGCGAGCCAATTATTCAAAGCTAGCCAAACGAGATAACGTTATGCAGGTTAGCATGCATGCTAACTGTAGCTAGTATAATTTCAGGCCTGGTTGGGAGCAAAAATCTCAACTTTACTTTTTGCACCTGCGGTATAACGTTAAGTGAGGCGAGTGGCGTGAACGGATAACCTAAAGCAGTAGTTAGTCGTTTTTCATTGGCAATTTCAATGAAGCAAATTAAGGTCAACGCTATGCTTGATGAGATAAAAAAAAAAAAAAAAAAAAAAAAAAAAAAACTCCAATCAGCTTTATAGGCCCGACGATCCAACTAAATCATGGAATGCACACTTCTGCAGTGTTAGCTAGCTAGCGTTAACGCAGCCAACATATTGTAAAATACGTTAGCATACACCGACAATGTACTCATGTACGCAAGCTTTAATAACACAGCTAGCTTATAGTATTGGGGCGACGTTATGGCCCGCTCTTTCATCGCAGATTGCATTGCCCACACTTGGAGCAACTTGGAGAACAAAGCTACCGTTAGGTTGCTTGGGTCAAATTTACGTTAAATGTTGCAAGATTTAAAATAAGTCTGTATACACACACTAAAAACAACAGAAACCGCTTCAATGGTGCCTCCTTACCACGCGGCCACTTCTTTATCTCGTCTGCAGCTCCGCAGGACGGGCGCCAAAGGCTATAATCGTGTCTTCTACGGGAACCTGTAAGGAAAACGCACTTCGCTTCTTACCTTTCCTTTGCGGTTGCGCCTCATGGCTTTTTGCTGCTCCTAAGACCGATAGCCCTGCGCATGAGCAATCAACTGTGGTGATTTAAAAAAGTTATTTATTAGCATATAACTTACCTGCATGACCCATGAAAACAGCATAATTGACTTGAGCTTCAAACAGGGGGTGGGGGTAGATATTTATGCCTCCAAAGTAGAGGCACAAGAAAGGAGAGCAAGAAAGACACTATTAGTTTAATTTTTTTGTTTTTGTTTTTTGTTTTTTTAATCAGAAAGAGCAACACCTGCAAGAGCATTTGAAATTCCCTAAGCATTTATACAAACAGCAAAGTAAACTCTTGGTCAAACCGGGAAATTAAATACAAATTTGTGAGGGACTAGGGGGAAAAATACTTCATGAGTCACACTATTAACTACTTTATGCACTTCTCTCCATTTAACTCACTCACTCTGCTGACTGTATAAAGCAGTGTGCCCATGAATAACATGGCAACTTCCACTAAATACTTAATTCAACTCTCATAATCTCAAATATATAAAAAGAAACATCCAAACAACATTCAATCCTATTAAATAGAGTTGGTGATTGTATTTCTTTTTTCAGAAATGGGATGGTTTAGGTCCACTTAGGGCCACTTTAATAACAAAGGATTTGTAGTTCATGAGTGCACTTAAATTTCCCTAAAAAAAAAAAAAAAAAGAAAACAAAAAGAAAAAGAAAAAGGGTATTTTGTTTCTATTTAGCCAAAATCTATAACACAGACTAAGGAGTGAGGTAGAATATAATCTTGCCAAAACTCTTAAGTACTTAAAATGAAAGGGGTTAAGCAGAATTGTGCTTCAAACTAATTATTCAATATTAATATAACACATGAAATGGTTGCCTCTTAAAAAACATTTGTTATGATGTTCATTTGTGCCTCATGTACACACACAGTAACCAAAACACTTATCAAATGCAAATTAAGGCCTTGTCAGTTTAATCATTGGTATACTGTATGTCATCGAGACATAAAGAACAAAATCTTTTCTTTTTTTTTTTTAAAGTTTCCTTTCAAATTTCAGTTGAACATGCCCTCAAGTATCTGAAACAAACCTGTAAACTTTATGTAATGTCCCAATAGCCATAGCGCTTTGAGATAAAGTTTCCGTTATGAAAAAAAGATACTGCCCTTGACAGTCTCATGATGCATATAAGCATTTCAGGAACCTCAGAACCTTTAATAAATACAATCTTTAACCGCCTCCTTAAACTGAATAGGTATACATTGAGAAGTGAGATTACATGGAGACAAACAAACAAACAGAATCGTCCTCCTAGATTTCTATCCAGTAACTGTCATGCTGGCCATGTTGAATTTTAGACATGTCTGGTTGTCTACGCTTATCTGTAAAAACAACAAGACTCAAGGACTTAAATGTTAACAGGCACAAAGAGAGACTGGTAGCATTGCCAGCAGCCTAGTTGTTCCCTTAAACCGCCCCTGGTGCCTTGTCCATTGTTAATGAGCAAAGAATCTCCAGTGTGTAAGCTACATTTTTCCCATGAGACATTTTATTTACAGAGAATTTTTTATTTATTTATGTTCCGAGTTTGTTTTCTTTTTGCAGCTTTTGCCGATTTAGGCTCCCAACAGCGGTGAATCCACACACACGTTTATAAGAGGAGATCCCAAAACCAGAGTCAGGTAAGTAAGTTCAGAAATATCCAAACCGTAAAAGCTCAAGTCTCAGCTGGCAATACTGCATCACTGCTTTTTTTCCTTCTTCCTCTTGTCTGTTTTGTTGCCAGTTGATGTGGAGACAGCAGGCCGTCTTACAGGTTGAACTACTACTCTCCCGTTAGCCCCGCACTGCAGGGTGAATCTTTCTGGGTTCAGGGGGTGTCCTGACTCATCCCTCAGCCGGGCCAGGACGTCTCTGGTCAGCTGCTTAATCTGCTGGCCCACAGCACCCATTGTCTTGGCTGTAAGCTGTTTGTCCCTCAGTAGCCTGTCTCTCTGAGCTTGTAGCCTTTCCACCTCCTCCTGGAGCCCTGTGATGGCATCTAATTTGCGCTTGCGGCAGTTTTGCGCTGCCAATTTATTCTTCCCCCGCCTGCGGATATCCCTTAGGAGTGTCACCTGCTCAGGGGAGAAACCGTGACCATCAAGAACCTCCAAGAACTCCTCCACAGGCATGTTGACAATCTGCAGGACAGAGAAGGGGATGCACATGGCACGGGCACGCAGTTCATCACGACTCAGCTCCCTCTCTTCCGACATTGTTCCATCATCATCGCTGAGAGGCTCCTCTTTGATGCCTTTGTGGGAAAGAGTTACAGATGGCTGATTGAAGAAAGCAGGCGATGGGTAGCTGTGGTCATGCCACACACTCTCACTAAGGTCAACAGGTGACCATGTTGTGGTGTAGTCCACGATGCCTTTTGAGGGGAGTGAATCCACATCACTGCTGTAGCCAGTTGCTCCACACTCATCCTCACAGTACGAACTGGATGATGATGACATCTCAGATGAGCCTGGACAAGGGAGGAGTTAATGATTGTGTTAATTCATATAACAAACATTTTTTTGGCTCCACAAGCAAGGGGTATATTTTAATCTAAAAGTACTTTTCAAGATTTGAACCAACCTGGGGAGACTGGACCCCCAGAGCTGCTCTCCAGGGAGAGACCGGAGTCCGAGTCCAAGTCCTCGAGGACCTGTGGGTTTATGCTCTCCAGACAGCCCATCAGTTGGGTATCAATAGTGTCTAGGCCTTCCAAACCTAGCTGATTGATCTGGTCAAACACTGCTTCATCCAGACAGCCACCCAGTGCACTATGTGATGACTCATTTCCAGTTAAATTACATACTGAAGCAAAAGGAAGGGCAGCCAGGCCCAGGGCCATCCCTGGTGACACGTCTGAGTGTGAGGAGCCCGTGGATTCCAGTGGGAAGAGGGTTCTTTGTTGTTGTGTGACTGGTCTGGCTTCACCTCTTTCCGATGCCACACCAAACGCTCCAGCACCAGTTACCATAGCATCATGCAAACTGACATCTTGGCTGATGGCGCTGGTGATGTCTGTGTCCGTGACAAGAGAATCCAGGTCCTACACATGAGACACACATTTTAGTTACACTTTATTCTTCAAACTCCATAACACACGACATGCAGATCACCATGAGACACTAAAACTCTGTTGTGACATGCTGGTGGTTCATAGCTTATGCACAGAAATTACTGTTTGCAAACTAATATTAAGCGTCATGTGAATTCATTTTCCGGCATATGTAATGAACATGAGGAGACAACTTACATCAAGGTCAGTGACAGACAGAGAGAGTAAATTGGTCCAGTGCTGGTCAATATCAATTGTAGGAGGCTGGTGGCTTGGTGGATCAGACAGTGCAGTGATACCGTCGAGCAGACTCTGAAAGAGGCAAAACATGCACAGAACACATTATTTACACATACGTTTTGCTGCCACAGTTACGTCCCAAGGTAAATAAAAGTGTGTCAGAGTTTAAAATAATACCAAAGAATATAGTTAATATGCCAAAATACAGGAGGAAAACTATTGCAATTTTTTATTATTAGACCGTTATCTTTATAAACTCTTCGGTAAAGTCACTGAAACATTAAGTCTTTCCCTCTGAGAGGTAGTAACTTCAACATCCCTAATTGCACTGGGATCAGAATAGTGCAATTTAAGTGATGAAGTCACATGAGAATGTGATACTGTTTAAAAATAGGTACAACACAATTTTTAACAGTCACATGACAGTAAATTTTATTTTTTTAAAGTGACACACTGACAAACACTGTAGTGTGTTCTCTTGAAACAAAACCAGCACAGCTACTTTTCAGAAAATCTCTCTTTAAACAATGAGCCAATGTGCAACATTTTCAACAGTATACTCCAACTAATGAAGGCAACTGTAGCAAACCACATCATACCTCTTGTTCCAGTGTGGAACTGTGAGCCAGCTGAATGAGCGGAGCAGGTTCTTCTTCTTCTTTAACTTTAGGGTCATTTTCCTGGTAGGGCAAAGATAGGCAGATGGAGAGAAAGGAGGGATAGAATTGGGGCACAGGAGAATCGAGGGATTCAGGATAGAAGAGAAGGAAAAGAGAAACAGTCAGTTGGTTAGCTGACACACAAAGACCCTAAACACAATTACATTTCTGGTTCGGTGACCCCAGTATTCAGCCAGTGCAGATAACTGGATACCTTAAGCAATGATTGGTGTTCTGTTGTGACAGAGAAAGGGTATGTTTTAATAAGCAGTTATTTTTATTCCATAAGGAACTGAACCCCAATGAACTGAGTTAGGTCAACAATTAACTTCAGATGTGTCCATTGTCCTGCTTTTTGGGACACTTTAGAAATGCATGAGCTGGTGTATATGAAAGTAAAGTTTAGTTTAATATACTAACTGATAATCCTCAGAGATTACCTAACCCTGTTATAGATGTTGTAAGACACTTCTGATACATCAAGTACAGCATTTAATTTAGGTCACCAGCTGTCTGCCACAGGCACAATATTCTTCATGTCTCCACACACAGGCAGAAAATTATTTTCCACCCCCTTTCAGCCTAAATGCTGTATCTCACCCAGAATGATTGCTGAATCGGTTTCTACGTTAATGCTAGAGGCAAAAATACACTACACCAGCACAGTTATGCCCAAGCCCTGTCTGAGCTTGTCGACTTCTATTGGAGAAGCTAATACCAGCTTCAACCGGCCTATTGAATGTAGATAGTTATTGATTTTTTTTTTTACTGTCAAATATCACAGCTGTCGTCTTCTCCTTTGAAACATTGCTCTACAGGCAGTTAAGTCGTTACTTATTTTGAAAGAAAGAGGGTAAACAAGAAAAAGATGTGTCAACATCACATTATCCATGTGAACAAGAACCCTAGGAGGAGGCAGTGTTCAAGTATGGACCACCGCTTTTGTGTAAGCAAATAGGGTGTGGGTCTAAGCCTCACTTCTGCACCTCTCAAG